GTACATGCCGCACATCCTTTAGAACCAATGTGCATCCGACATTTGTCTTGATACAAATGTCACCAATCCCCGCAATCTTTGAGTAACTTGTGTTACCCATTTTCACTGTGCCGAAATCACCTGCTACATATCTGCAAAAAAGATCTCTTACCGGTGTGGCATGGTGAGATGCCGCTGTGTCAACCACCCATTCCGACTCTGGACCTGACAGGTGCATGCATTCCTCTTCCTCATTTATAAAGAGGACAACATTATCATTATTTTGCACCATGGCGGCTGTGTTGTCGTCATTCTTCTTACCACTGGTTTCACCTTTTCCCTTCCTTGGATTTGGGCAATCTCTTTTGAAGTGACCTGATTGATCACAGTTGTAGCAATTTCTGGCTCTTGATTTAGATCGGTTCTTTGACTTCCCATGAGCTCTGGATCTACCATAGTTGATCGAACTCTTTTGATAACTCCTGCCTCTACCTTCTGTGATGAGAGCATGTCCTTGATTTTCAGGCTTCTTTCTCATCTTCTCATTGAGTAGAAGAGCCGATGTGACATCTTTCAACTCAATAGTAGTCTTACCGTGCAGGATGGTTGTTGCCAAATTATCGTACGAAGATAGCAATGAGTTCAATAGCAAGATGGCTTTATCTTCTTTCTCGATTTTCACTCCGAGATTAGCAAGCTGTGTGATTAGTCCGTTAAACACATTTAAATGTGACAAAAAATTCGTACCTTCACTCATGTGTAGGGCGTATAACTTCTTCTTCAGGTACAATTTATTTGTCAGCATTTTGGACATGTATAGGCTTTCCAAACTTGTCCAAATTCCACGTGCAGTGTCTTCATCAATGATGTTATTTACCATATCATCTAATAAGTGCAACCTGATTGCACTAGCAGCTCTTTCATCCAAGTCAGCCCAATCCTCAGCTTTCACGGTATCAGGCTTTTTGGAATCAACATCTAGAACCTTGTGTAATCCTTGTTGGATGAGCAGATCTCTCATCCTTCTTTGCCATGTTGAGAAACCGTTATCTCCGTTGAATTTTGCTACCTCGTACTTTACTCCGGACATTTTTNNTTTTCACCAAGTATAGTACTACCGACAGTGAATAGTATTTCAGTGAATGAGCAGAACCTGTGCTCTGATACCAGTTGTTGGGAATAAACCCCCTACCAAAATGATATTCACGATAATAAAAGCGTAATAATAATGTAGCACCGAGATACGGTAATTAACAAGAATAAAAGAGTAACAATGACACCAACATTTTTACGTGGAAAACCCTTCTGAATAAGGGAAAAACCACTACCCCGAGAGGAGAAACTGATATCACTATAGTAAGGAATTGACACTTTGTAGGCCCGAGTAAAATACTACAAAGACCACTACAATACTCAAAAGAAATAACACTATTTTGATATTTCACCTCACTACAATATTGCTCACACTCTCTATTTTCAACACAGACTATTTTCTTATACCCTGTCTGTGAAACCTCACTCTTTCTTTCTATCTCTCAGATATATTTTCCTCTGAGATTGTGATAAAAGAATGAGAGCCGAAGCTCTCATTTTATAGGCAAAATATGCCTACCAACCTTGACCTTTAAACTTCTGCAGCCTGTCATTTTTGACGGAAAAATGAGAAACGTGGGCTGCTTGCTTCTGCCAACTTTGAAAATGAAGAAGAAAGGAAGAAAACAACATCTTTAAAATGTGGGCTGGAACCCACAGATCTCCCCCTCCAGTCCTATTCACCCGAAGGAGGTAACTTCGCAGTTTCTAGTTTGAGTGTATGCGGACAAGTTCTTTGCATAGCTCAAACTTGTCTCTTGGTACCACTTTGGTCAACATATCGGAAGGATTCTCACTTGTATGAATCTTTTTGACCTGTAAAGATTCGTTCTTCACCTGCTCACGAATCCAATGATATCTCACATCTATGTGTTTGGTCCTTGCATGGTACATAAAGTTCTTGCTAAGGTCTATTGCACTTTGACTGTC